GGTGGGCTGTGAGCTCGTCTACACAACTAGGCAATAAAAAAAAAATAATAATAATAATATCGCATTCGTTGATTAGTTGCGACGGATTGACACGTTTTTTTTTAGTATTAGAGTTAGGTCAGGATAGTGAAAGAAAGAGAACCATGTCATTCCTACGGGAAACTATACCGACACTTTTTCTTGATGACGCGAGCAAAGCCGCGGGTGACATCTAGTAGATTAATAAATTAGGAAAAAATTCCGGTTTCAATTTACCAAATTATTCACCCTTTTAATGCATACAATCAAATTCGTTTCTCCCGGAGTCTTATTATAATTTAGTGCTAAACCCTTTTAGAAAGCATACGATCAGATAAGGTGTCACGCACGCTTCCAGTGGTCCCTTGTTGGGCCGTGTTTGTTTGCATTTAGCTCGACCTAAAGTAAAATACTTGTAATATAAATCGCTGGGAAATAAATGAATACTTAAATGTGTGGTCCATGAGCATTTGTATCGAAGTTTTACTGGTGGTAGAGCATTGATGACTTATGATGGCTGGTGGCGTTTTTCACTTTTTTTACGGTGAAAATTCAACATAAATTTAAAGTAAAGGTTTTTTGGATTAAGCGACAAAAAATATTTTCCAAAAATTAACAGAAAATATTCTTCGAAATATAATTTTTGCTAAGTAGCCCCAACTAATTATGCCCAATATAAAAACAAAAATTTTGTTGCAGAAAAAAGCAAACAGGTTTTGTGGGCACAGATTTGGCCGGATTTCAACTTTTGAAATGAAAATCGAAATACAATGACAATTAATCGTGTAACACTTTAGAATCTACGTCCAAAATTGTAAGCAGTCGGCGTTGCCCGAAACAAGTTATTTCGGATCCTCCCGATCCACTGACGGTACTTTTAGGTACCACAAGCATCGGTCATCGTTCTCGTCGAACCCGTCGCTTGCGTGGAAGGGCTCGGCGAGTAAATTAACCCACAGACACAGCCCACTGAGTTTCTCGCCGGATCTTCTCAGTGGGTCGCTTTTCCGATCCGGTGGTAGATTCTGCGAAGCACTGCTCTTGCTAGGGTTCGTGTTAGCAGCATCGTCAGGTTTGAGCCCCGCGAGCTCACCTACCTAAAAGCACCGTTAGTGGATCGGGAGGATCCGAAATGTCGTGTTTTGGGCGACGTCGATTGCTTCCCATTCTGTCCGCAGGATCGGGAATATAGTTACCGGCGGCCACGATGAAAGGGTTCTCGTGTCGGGCCGCTTTATCGAAGTGGCGCATTGATGCCGACTGTAGATACTTACTGATGGACTCTAGGTCCAGGTCATCTTGCAGGTCGATGTTCCTGACGAACCACGGGGCTCCGACGGCTATCCTGCAAAAAGGGGATTGAATGACTTGGAGTAATTTTAAGTTAGTGCGGGCCGCGTGAGCGAACAAATACTACACTTGCATAGGTCATGACAGGGCGTATGCAAGTTTTGTAGAGTATCATCTTATTTCTAAGGCACAATTTACTTCGCTTGCAAATCATCGGATAGACAAGAGCAATGCTTTTCTGTATCTACTACCGGATCGGAAACGCGACTCACTGAGAAGATCCGGCGAGAAACTCAGCGAATTTAATGATATAAGCGAGTAGTGCAAACACAGCATAAAGTATCAAATAATATACTTAATAAGTTGGAAGAATAGCTCGTGCCTCCGGGACCACGTTATCACATTATCAGGCACTTTCTAACTCCGTGTTGTGCAAGCGCTTTAATATCGAAGCCTGAAATCGGAGATTAGGCCTTAATTTGGACATTCACTATCGCACGCGGAGCTGGCACGACACGTGCTCGATTGTGAATAAGCTGGATTATAACTCGATTTGGAAACACGAACGACCTAATTCGATCTTTGATTATTATACATCTATCTATATATATAAAAATGAATTGCTGTTCGTTAGTCTCGCTAAAACTCGAGAACGGCTAGGACCGATTTGGCTAATTTTGGTCTTCAATTATTTGTCGAAGTCCAGAGGTTTAAAAGGTGAATAAATATGAAAATGCTCGGAATTGTATAATATAAAAACAAACAATTTTGTTTTTCCTTTGATGTGTCCCCCGTCGGACGGATTCTTTTTGTTTGTTTTAAGTTTATTTTATACAAAAAAGTTTAGGTCTTTTATTTATCGATTAAGGCACTAAGAAGTCTGTCGGGTCAGTCTAGTACTAATATATAAATCTACAGTGGTTTTTACGGATGTTCCGTTATAACTACTGAACCGTGCATCCGATTGACTTGAAATTTGGTATCCATGTAGAAAGTACATGTACTTAATGGATAGGCTAATATTTATGTGAGCGTTGGACTCCCTAATAATAATGGCAATAAATAATAATTTTAATTTTAAATGCCCAGCGAAGCAAGTGAATACGGCTAGCCGTTCATATAATCGATTAAACGAACAAAATTTTGTGTTTAGTTGTATTAAAAGTTGTATTAAAAAAAAGGTATGAATGAAATACAATTTATAAGTTAATTGAATGTCAAATTAAACCAGTATTTCCCAACGTGGGGCCCACGCCCCACAAGGGGGCCATTTGATAATTAAGGGGGGCAATTGCACTAAGTTAATATAGAAAATCTGTATTAAAATTATTATGAATTTGAATTTCAATGTTTTATTATTATACGTTTTGAAATACATATTGTTTACTGTGTTCTGATAACAATTTCATAGAATTTCTTCCTAAAACCTATAATCTATGTTTCTTAAATGCACCAATCAATATTTTAACGTTAAAAATTATGTATGGGGGCATAAATATTTTAAAAAGGTTACAGTGCGGCATAGCACAAGAAAGGCTGGGAAGCACTTTTTTTCTTTATTTAGGGCGTAAAATTCGCAAAAACCTGAGGAAATATTGAGGATTAAAAATATGTACATTATTTTGGATTCTTCGTAGCTTAATATATAAAAGATGTATTCTCGTATCTAGCGATGCGACTATGTTTGTATTCAAATCCCGCAATATTTCTCTAATGAAATACGTAATTAACACATTTGCACGAATGACTTCGGCGATAAAGGAATCATTCATCATTTTCCTGACCTTTTCACAGTCACCGCAACGTGTCTGCGCAACGTGTCTTCTTCCATACTCTTCTATCATATACCATTTCTTCGCTCACTCCTTACTTACACATATTGTCTTTCACGCAATCCATTCATTTCTTCTTAGTTCTACTACTTCTAGTAGTTGCTTCATTTTTCCAACAACTAAAGGCGAAGGTGTCACACAATACAGCCTAGCCTAATCTTTTACTTTTACTTTTACTTTTAGGTAGGCAGCGGCTTGGCTCTGCCCCTGGCATTGCTGAAGTCCATGGGCGACGGTAACCACTCACCATCAGGTGGGCCGTATGCTCGTCTGCCTACAAGGGCAATAAAAAAAAAAAAAAAACATGTTCTGTGATATGAAAAATAATATGGAGCGAAATGAGGTGTTTCCCGAGCGCTATGACATGTCCTTCTTCAAACGAGGCTTGTGGAGAGTATTAAACGGTAGGCAGCGGCTTGGCTCTGCCCCTGGCATTGCTGAAGTCCATGGGCGACGGTAACCACTCACCATCAGGTGGGCCGTATGCTCGTCTGCCAATACGGCAATAAAAAATAAAAAGATGAGATTGATTTATTTTAGACTGTAATGAATTGTGATGAAATTGGATTAAATGAGATTGTATGAAATAAATTGTCAGTATAATGGCGGTTATTAACTTATATTTTTGTGATTTTTTTTTGAATTACCTGTTAGGTTAATACTATTATTGTATTATTTTCAGGGCTACTTACACATATGGCGTCGTGACGTCACTTTCTCCGAAGAAGAACTGTCAGAACTGTTCAACAACATCGAAGACATATTCAACTTTAACAGGTATGACATTATTACCGGCCATATGTAAATTAGCTTCGTGTTTGTATTGCATATTAATCACTACATACTATAAAACAAAGTCGCTTTCTCTGTCCCTATATCCCTATGTATGCTTAAATCTTTAAAACTACGCAACGGATTTTGATGCGGTTTTTTTTAATCGATAGAGTGATTGAAGAGGAAGGTTTATATGTATGTAAGCTTGAGGGTAGACATTATCTTGTTGAACACCAAGTAAAACGATGTCACTTTTTGGTTCCTGATTTAATCAACAATATGTTATCTTAACAATTCACTTTAACACTTGTCCAACTTTAACCAGTACGTACAACAGTCACTGAATCACACAACGTAACAAGGATATAGTAAGTGCACCAGGCAAGCGCAGTCCAACGAATGTTCATTTCAAGGCACGTTCCGCCTTTTTATACTAGCCGGCGCAGCTGGCTTATGAGTCACTTCTGTTGCAGCTGTTGTTTACGAGTGGAACGACACGGCCGGCGCGCCTGGCTTGTGTGAGTCACTCCTATTGCACGTGCTATATAACATAAATATCGTTAACGCCGTCACGGCCATACTGACGTGCGCTCGTCCTCGTGCGCGCATTCTTATGGTATGTCTGTGAACAACAAACGTGTTCGTTCATCCTGACATTAACGGATGCAACTTAAAACGTGGTCTATGATATTAACAATCTAGTACGGTTCGGTTCGCATAATTCTTCAGAAAATCCTATACTGGCTATAAATAACCTTCAGACTGCTTACATACCTGGGCCAGTTCATTTAAAACTCTTCAGGTATGTAAGTATGTCCCTTTTAACTTAGACCGGAATTGTTATCCCTTCAGTTTTTCGAACTGGACCGGATAATGCTAGACCGAATCGCAATCCCTGTAGCTAATTGTTGTGGCTAATCTGGATGAAAATCCCTATAGCCAAGCCATTGGACCGGACAGACCCTTCAATGACTTCACACTTTCTTTTTTTTTTTTTTGCTAGTCCGGATTAACATCTCTCTAGCCACATACAATTCTCTTTTTTTTTTTTTTTTTCTGCGTGTACGGTAGCGTTTGTAACATTTCTTAAACCAGAACATTTATACGGAATTTCTTCAGAAATAGTGCGAGACCGACCATCGTTTTCTACATTTCCAACACCTGCACCTGAGGTGCCTGAGCTTACAGACATTGTATCACTACCCACAGACTATGTTTGCTGTATCGCTATTTGCGGACAAAAATGTCGCTTCTATTGTCAGTGATAGAGTCGTCATCATTAAGATCAGTTTCATGAACAAGATTAATTAACCCATCTGTGTACGCCGTCACGTCATCGTCACTATAATTTTCAGAAATTTCTAGTAGGCCTGACGGGCCTCGAGGTATTTCACGTAAGTTTTCATGGGGAAATTTGTACACTCTATTAGAACTATTTACATGTCTCAATTTATACCTATCGTTTTCCAAAACTGCAGTAATGTTGAAGGGACCTTTACATTTTCGGTCAACTTACGAAAACAAAATCCCCAGCGGAAAAGAGTTTGACTTTAGCTTTGCCTCGACTAAACCAAGCTTCTGTTTGTGCCCTTTTTTTATGTTTTCGCCGGTCTTCGACCGTGCTAAATCAAGATCTAATCTAGAGGGATTATCACTCTGTTGAAACTTTAGATATTTCAAGTGAACTACCCTGAACGGCAAACGTCTATTCTATTGGAGTAAACCCTGTTACTCGACAACGTGCACTATTAAGGGCGAGTTGAATATCCCCTAAGTGCTCTTGCCATCATGATTGGTCTAAGTTACTTTCAGATCAAAGAGTGACTTGTTCATGAAACCGCTTACCATTGAATAAATTACTATGACTTTGTTTTATAAGACTACATTCTGACCCTGAATGGAACATAAAGGGGAAGCCAAAACCACTTATCTGTAACACACTGAAGCTCTGGAACACACGTTGACGTCTCTGGTTGGACCTGCCACAGCACCTGGAGCAGTGTCGTTTTTCTTCTTGTAGCGCATGGAACACCCAGAAGCTACATGGCTCGCATCACCGCACACGTAACAGCCGACTTGCAGGCGAGAGCCGGGCGCCCACGGATGAGGAGGTTGTTCAGGTTTTGCAGGCTGTATTTTTGTGAGGCAAGTAGTAGCTCGAGCCTTAAGCGAATGTGTGAGAGTCAAAATTAAATCGACACCATCCAATACTTCAACTACTTTAAACGGCCCTTTAAACTTCGTATCTAATTTCGTTTGATTATGCTCTTCGTATTAATGTGTGGACGAGCTCACAGCCCACCTTGTGTTAAGTGGTTACTGGAACCCATAGACATCCACAGCGTAAACGCACCACACACCTTGAGATAGAAGTTCTAAGGTCTCAGTATAGTTACAACCGCTGCCCCACCCTTCAAACCGAAATACACCACTGCTTCACGGCAGAAATAGGCAGGGTGATGGTACCCGTGCGGTCGATGGCACTATACGGAGCACCCGTCTGGTGCCACGTCCTTACCCACGAGAACGTCGCCGCGCTGCGACGCCGGCAGCGCGCGATCGCAGTTATTCAATGATACCTCACAGTCTCCTACGAGGCGGCGCGCCCTAGCGCAAGTGCAGCCGGAGCGCGGGGGCTCCAATATCGGCAGTCCGTGCTGGAGGCGTGGTCTCGTCGTTTGGCGGACCCGTCGGCCGGCCTCCGTACCGTCGAGGCGATCTGCCCGGTTCTCGCGGACTGGGTGGGCCGCGACCGCGGAAGTCTCACCTCCGGCTACCTGTGCAGACTCACAAGACATTTTACCACCATGCAAACTTCTTACCGCAACAAATCTTACCAGCCACCACGCAAACTACAATTTTACGGGTTCCACCTCTCTTACACGATGTTACTCCCACACTGAGGAAGCCAACCGCGAACACTTGTCAAGCACGCACAAGCACGCACTTCACCGGAAAAACCTGCATCCGCCAGCGGAACCCGAACACCGCCGCATCGCCAGACACGAACGCACCGGACGTCTTATCTTACAGGTCACGACGACTTCAGATGTGTCAATTTTTCTTCCCCACGGAAACTTGCTTGCTTTCTTGTTTGCTTGCTTGCTGGAGCCCGAAGTCATCGAACGTGTAGTGTTATTGGTATTGAATCGAGTAGATTCTAAAATTTCAGCGACAATTCACAGTCTCATGTCCTGGTTTACTGTACTAGTGCCATGTAACTCTAGCAGTAGTCATTGGCTTAAAAACGATTCGTGTCGGAACTACCCACTCGTCATGACAGATCCATTATTGCGATCGAAGTTTCACTTGAGATTTGCACTTGCCTTAATTTCTTGCAATAGCTTGTTACGTGTTGTATTTCCGTTAGTAAATGCCATGTGATGAAGTCGACAGTCAAACTGGGCAACATGAGCCAGAACGTAAGATGTGACGATTTCTTCGTGGCTCAGATCTTCCATCGAGGTAACAGAGACGTTATTACACGACTTACGTATGCTGCATTCACGCTCTTGTGGCGTACCACTACTAGTATTCTGATCTGCATCATGTTTTTTTTGCTGTACTTCGAACATGTTCAAACACGTCACGCCAGTGAGAGTAGAGTCCTGATCTCACTTCTGATGTAAGCTTGAGGGTAGACATTATCTTGTTGAACACCAAGTAAAACGATGTCACTTTTTGATTCCTGATTTAATCAACAATATGTTATCTTAACAATTCACTTTAACACTTGTCCAACTTTAACCAGTACGTACAACAGTCACTGAATCACACAACGTAACAAGGATATAGTAAGTGCACCAGGCAAGCGCAGTCCAACGAATGTTCATTTCAAGGCACGTTCCGCCTTTTTATACTAGCCGGCGCAGCTGGCTTATGAGTCACTTCTGTTGCAGCTGTTGTTTACGAGTGGAACGACACGGCCGGCGCGCCTGGCTTGTGTGAGTCACTCCTATTGCACGTGCTATATAACATAAATATCGTTAACGCCGTCATGTATAATAATAATAATAAGCCCATTTTATTTCAAAAAACAAAGAAAGAAAAAAAGAAAAAACACTATCAAATAAAAATTACAAAATTAAATATAAACTTGTGTTTGGAACCCCATTCGGGTATAGGCCTCCTCCAGCTTGCTCCACTCTTCCCTATCCTTGGCTTTGTTTCTCCATTCTTTTCCAGTTGCTGCTATTATTTCGTCGATCCATCTGCTTCTTGGTCGTCCTCTTCTTCTTTTGCCCGCTGGTCTTTCCCATGTTGTAATTTCTAATGTCCATCTTTTATCCGTATATCTCGCAAGATGTCCTGCCCAGCGCCACTTTTGTGTCAGAGCGTACCTGAGAGCATCTATCAGCTTTGTTTTTTCTCTAATGCTAAGCTTTATATGTATAATAACATCTATTAAATAGTGGAGAAATCAATAATAAATTACAGTTTCCGAAGCGAAGCGAGGGCGGGTCCCTAGTATATGTATATGCGTTCTGTTTGACTGTAATAGCTAGGACAGTGATACCTATTTGTATAGATTTCCAATAGGACCTACTACTAAATGTTTATTGGCGATCGCTTTACTAGCATAGTCGAGGATGACTTTAGTCCTGAAAACTTTAGTCCTTTTAACGTTAGGAATGTAGGGGGAGGGAATCTACTCTAGGCTGAAACCACATACTTTAGCACAGATCGACTTTCCATGCACAATGAGTAGTAATTACGCTACTAATTTAATATTTCATCGAATTATCATTCTGGTCACCGTCCTCGTCGAACCCATCGCTTGCGACGAAGGGCTCGACGAGCGAATTAACCCATAGACACAGCCCACTGAGTTTCTCGCCCGATCTTCTCAGTGGGTCGCGTTTCCGATCCGGTGGCAGATTCTGCGAAGCACTCCTCTTGCTAGGGTCAGTGTTAGCAACACTCCGGTTTGAGCCCCGTGAGCTCACCTACACACGTTAGGGCGAAGCTGAAATAGCATCTCAAGGCTATCGGCATAGGTAGGAAAAAAATCGAATTACTGTGGCGGTGGTCCTCCGAAAAAACAAGATATCTGATAGACGACTAAATCTCGTTAACGACATTTTCTAGATAGGCTTGCGTATATACAAGTTCACAACAACATTCGGATCGACGGTCTACCGAGTAATGTCGCCCGTTCGGTGGAATATCTTTTTTCTTTTTCTATCCTTTTCCTTGGACGCAGTTGGAAGCAGAGGGGTCAGGTCAGGAACGAAACCGTGCTTCAGCGCGTTCATATGTCCCGGAAAATGTTGCCTTCTATTACAAGATAAAATATCTCGGCCACGTGCTCAGGAACGATAGATACGTGCTGCTGCAATCGATAATGATGGGCAAAGTGGACGGAAAGAGACGTGCTGGGTGAAGAAAGAAGTCATGGCTCCGGAATATCCGAGAGTGGACCGGTATTGCTTCCGTCGAACAGCTGTTCCGGCTGGCTGCTGATAGAATTAAATACAGGAAGCTAATGTTCAACCTTCAGGATTGAAGAGGCACTGGAAGAAGAAGACCCTTTTCCTTCTTTATTCCCAAATTACTAACTTTCTATCTTCAGCTTCACTGATTTGAACTACAAGCGTATGGATATGTATATGTTCACTCTGAAAACATTAGAAAGTACGGACGGATAGATGACGGATGAATGGTGTCTAGTGCAATATCTTTTATTGCTTTCTTTGTAAGTCAACAGCGACTCAGACCCTCCTTGTAAAACCGCGTTTCCTATAGCCGGATAACAGGAACGAATTCAGGATTTATTTTAGTAGTTACTGTAAATATAAATTGCAAATGTACGTACGTCGTCGTGGCCTAAAAGATAAGACGTCCGGTGCATTCGTATCTAGCGATGCAACGGTGTTCGAATCCCGTAGGTGGATACCAATTTTTCTAATGAAATACATACTTAACAAATGTTCACGATTGACTTCCACGGTGAAGGAATAACATCGTATAATAAAAATCAAACCCGCAAAATTATAATTTGCGTAATTACTGGTGGTACGACCTCTTGTGAGTCCGCACGGGTAGGTACCACAATCTTTTTTTTTATTTTTTTTTATTGCTTAGATGGGTGGACGAGCTCACAGCCCACCTGGTCTTAAGTGGTTACTGGAGCCCATAGACATCTACAACGTAAATGCGCCACCCACCTTGAGATATAAGTTCTAAGGGTCTCAGTATAGTTACAACGGCTGCCCCACCCTTCAAACCGAAACGCATTACTGCTTCACGGCAGAAATAGGCAGGGTGGTGGTACCTACCCGCGCGGACTCACAAGAGGTCCTACCACCAGTAATTACGCAAATTATAATTTTGCGGGTTTGATTTTTATTACACGATTCCTTCACCGTGGAAGTCAATCGTGAACATTTGTTGAGTACGTATTTCATTAGAAAAATTGGTACCCGCCTGAGATTCGAACATCGGTGCATCGCTCAACACGAATGCACCGGACGTCTTATCGCTTAGGCCACGACGACTTCAAATCCTGCCTATTTCTGCCGCGAATCAGTAATGCGTTTCGGTTTGAAGGCTGGGACAGCCGTTGTAACTATACTGAAACCTTAGAACTTATAGCTCAAGGTGGGTGGCGCATTTACGTTGTACATGTCTATGGGCTCCGGTAACCGCTTAACACCAGGTGGGCTGTGACCTCGTCCACCAATCTAAGCAATAAAAAAATATATGTTAACAGTGAAAGTTAATCTGAATTACAAATAATTTGAGTTCGACTCTGTTTTTTTTTTGCTAAGGGTGTCGGAAAGAGGGCTTTATTATCCGGAGGGTTGCGCAAAAACGTCTACAATACATCAATTTAGGTTATCAAAGTTCACTGTTATTGAGCAGGATTTATGATTCTCTGAGGTGTTCGACAGTCGTGAGGCTGATGATGACGTCATTGGAATAATCACTCCGCCATTGAATGTTCTTGTATTGGCTGACGATGCCGCAAGCCATCGCGATGTCAAATGAAGAACGAGGTTCCATAGTAGCGTCGATAAAATTGCGATAGCTCCAATAGGAGTTGACAATTTTTATCCCACTGAGCTTCTCGCCGGATCTTCTCAGTGGGTCGCGTTTCCGATCCGGTGGTAGATTCTGCGAAGCACGGCTCTTGCTAGGGTTCGTGTTAGCATCGTCGTCAGGTTTGAGCCCCGTGAGCTCACCTACAAACGTTAGGGCGAAGCTGAAATAGCCTCTCAAGGCTATCAGCATAGGTAAAAAAAAAAAAACAATTTTTTTCATGGCACCTGCTCGTGTGGGCACACAAGTCGCTATACGATCAGTAACAGGTAAAAACTAGTTTGAATAGAGTAAATTTCATCCATACTACCTGGAGCCACTGCGTTCACCCACAGTGCGCTTCCAGAGACCTTTTTTGCCACGTACCATCCGGGTTTGGAAAGAGCTCCCCTCCACGGTGTTTCCCGAGCGCTATGACATATCCTTCTTCAAACGAGGCTTGTAGAGAGTATTTAACGGTAGGCAGCGGCTTGGCTCTGCCCCTGGCGTTGTTGAAGTCCATGGGCGACGGTAACCACTCACCATCAGGTGGGCCGTATTCTCGTCTGCACGGGCAATAAAGAAAGAATACTACTCCCGAGTCAAGTCTGCCCCTCTCCAAGACTACAAGACGATCATGGCTACTTTGAAAAGAGTGACACGATTGAGAAGAATAGGACTACTTCCTTCGCATTGCTGTTTCGCGGCAAACTTACGGAACCTCTGCCT